ATACTTCAATACGCGCGTAAAAAATTACGCGACAGTGGAAATCCACCTTAACGGTGCATTTGTGAAACTGACACTGAGACAAGAAAATTATTTTCATTAATTTCGAAGTGTTTAATCTCGATGATATGATATGTTCTGTACTTGTTCATCCACGTCGATATCCCTGCACAGCAACTGTGCATTTTTTTGTGCGTTTTCCTCTGCCATTTTCTGATAGGTCTTTTTACGTAGCAACGCCATCGTTAATAACATATGGGTAATGGGAAGAGGAGATGTTCTGATGAATTTTACTGTAGATTCCGTTGATTCGTTAGAGTGATATTCTTCTTGGATTTGTTACGCAGTTGTTCCCGATTTCCCGATGACATTTCTGGCAAACTGTTCGGAGGATCTTAGCAAATGCAGGAGTTAGATCAGAATTTTGGCAAAGCCGAAGGAAATCGATGATTCCATCATAGTTGATTTGTTTAGCAGCCAGAGCTTAATTTCTCAAGTCAACTGAATAATTCAAGCTCGTTACTTCGTTTTAAACCTTGCTTTTTCCTGAAATCCACTTCTCAATTCATGTCACACACCGAGGCAAACCCGCATTGAATTGGTTCTTCAGTCCTGGTTCTTTCCCAACCGATAGATCAAAGACTGGTTTCAGCTCGGTACTCGATCAATCCCGGCTGGTCACCCAACCAGTTTTCAACGTAACTTCTTTCACGAGGGTTTGCGAGATACCAGAGATACGTACTTGTAGTTAACTTAAGTACATTAGGACAAGGTTTTCAGAAAACCTTGAAACACTTGTAAAATTTCAAACTATGAAAAGCCCTTCTGCCTTGTGAATAAAGAGACTGGCAAAGCCTCTGGAGAAAAACATCAAGCAAAGAAATTTCAGAAAGGAAAAAGTGTTACCTTGGCTGTCCGTTATTTTCCTTTTTTTTCGCACGTCTGTTCAAGGTCGAGGCGCCTGTTGAATCGAAAGTTCTTCTGCCGTTTTTGGGCTATATCCTTCAGTACTATAATCTACACATTAATTCATTTGAACTTTTATAATACAGAGTAACACCTGCAACTTGCACAGTTCTTATTTTGTTTATTGATGTTTCTCCGGAAGACAATAAAAATTTGTCAAGTTCAAGTTAATTTTTTTCTCGTCCCATTTCTTGACATGTTATCGTCAATACCAGGTGTTCTTGGTGTCTATTCCGCCCCCAGCCTTGTTTTAAATCATATTTTTGCATTCCTGTCAATACTGGAAGGCATGCTAAGGAAACCTTGACTTCGCCTTTTGTTGCACATTTCAAAAACATGATAATTTTAATACCCTCCATGAAATAGCCTCTATCAAATTGTTCATAGAACGCTTACTTGCGTCTGTCATTTCAAAAAGGAGAAAGTCACGTGATTTTTAAAAGCGAGAGTACTTGACGACTTCAGTTTAATGGAAGTGAAGAAATACGTCAGTGAACTATTATGTTTCTTGCAGACGTTTTCGCATACCACTCAGTATGCAGAATTCGTGTTCCCACAAAAACTAAATACTTAAAACACTATTTTTACGAAGTAACACAGTCGAGAATAGCGATATTAAAAAGTGCTGACCTTAAACGAGAAGTTAAGCGAGGTTCAAATTTTACGCTAACGAGCGACCTTTCATGCATTGCCTCTATTTTATTTGCGAACGTAAATTTTACGCACGTACGCACAGAAAAATTACGCTATACTGGGAATCAACACTAACTGTCACTTTTTTCTGAATTGTTTTATTACAACGCTTTCGTCATAAACGTAGAAAATGGGATCAATTTTAGTTACACGTTATAATCTTTCAGATATGATAGATACTAGATTTTTTAAAAAAGAAGAAAAAAAAACCTTTCCCGTTAAACTGGGCTACAGTATGTTGCCCAGTATCCGGACACTTCAGTTTAAGATTGCAATAACTTTCCTTTGTTAATCGCATGAGCTCTGAAATTTGGCCCAGAGAAAATCTATTTAGTCCTTAATATGACGAAAGACAGTTTAACTTTTTTGCCTTTGTTTCCATCGCGAAATTAATATTTTTGCAGAGCTCCTATGTTGCCCAGTATCCGGACAGCTGGCCCAGTATCCGGACACAACAATAACAACGTAATTGTACATAAATTTCGACAGGCAAGCGACTTATAAGCTTCTCTTGCACTTGCAAAGTAGTCTGGCAATTGATTCCAAAAATATAACCTAGCATCGTGAAATAAAACATAACAAACGACTGGGGTATGGTGGGGAACGCGAGCGGCTGTTTTGAAAATGGTATAATTCTTACTTCCTTGTCTAGGAACTTTTTCACTGATTTAAGGAAGGCATCCGTGGACATGCCGAAGCCGCAGTTTGCAAGCTCAATTAGCGAATCTGCAAACGACTTTCTTTCTTCATTTTTTATTTTAAAAAAAGCTTGGGGAAGGGACCTCAACCGGACGGTCAAAGGTCACTCTCCTATTTAGTCTGACCCGCAGTGTTGATTTCTTCATGCTCAGTCCCCACAATAAGCCTGCTTTTCTAGCACTAATTCCTCCTTCTTTCACATCTCTCAATCCCTTTGTGACATTTTTCAGACCGTTGCAACCCCATTCTAGCAGTCACAACCGGGGAAAGTATGAGAATTCCAGGTTCAACAGGTTCAACTCAGACGCTTTCAGTTATATATTAAAAATGCAGTCACGCGAAACAAGCCGTGCACACGAAATCGAGTCGCCTCTGAACGAGTAAAGAAAATTTCCATACGGAGTTGAGTAGAATTACATTTTACGACTATATCATATATCCTAAACTTTAATTATAGTTACTGATATGAAATAAACCCTATCCGGATAATGTACACACCTAATTCATCGATTCTGTACAGCAAAGAAAAAACTGTCCGGATACTGGGCACATGACATCAAAACTTAGTGAATGTTTCTGGCCTCCGTTATTCCAAACAAATGGAATTTCAAGAAGAATTAATAAACTTTCTGAAAACCTGACTTCCTTAAGCATCTTCACGTTAAAAATAAAACAGTTTCTTTGAAACATCACACATTACCCTCCCTTTTCTGAGCAGCACTAATTTTACTGCGCAGTCAACAGCGTAAATATTGGTCATGAAAAGTTTACTCACCTGAACAGAACGGCGCCTTCTGCGACTGTTTCGCAAGCTTTCAAATCGCCAAAACTTTCATCTTAAAGCTGATATGTTCAGCTTTCATTCGAAATACTTCGTTTACCGAGAACTGAAAACGGCGCCTCAAAAATTGAGTTTTTGTTTCAAGTGTCCGGATACTGGTACCGTCCGGATACTGGGCAACATACTGTATACAGTATCATGCACCGTTTGCCACCTTATGTTCCATGAAAAAAGACAACATTTCGCTTAATGTATTTATACTTTCACATAGACCATAATGCACCTTGTTTACCCCTCAGAATTTTGCATGCTATTGTTTCTAATTTTCCTGGGTATTACAGTCGTCCCAGGAGAAATCGAAAACAATGGTCAGACAAAGTTTGGTTTTTTTGTTTGGTTGGTTTTCTTGGGGGAGGAAACAAGGTGCATTATGGTCTATGTGTAAATGGAAATGGTGAATTCCATTCTTTCCTCGTGTTAAATATGGGTACATTAGCATTGGTAAGACTACTATTATTCTTTTATTGGCATCAAATATAAATGCTTGAGTCAGTCTTGTTTTTCAATATCTCTTATTTGTTGGGGGCTGCTATCCATAGCAGTCCAATTAGATGGTGCTTCAAATCAGCCAGTCGCATAGCCAAATGAAAATTAAACAACCAAATGTTGCTTAGACAATACGATTTTTAAATCTACTTAGTCCATGTTAACCAGTCCAAATTAAAATAACTTAGAGAGCAAGTACCCCAGATTCGGCCTGTAAAAAAAAACTCAACAAAAATGAATCAGTTTTTTCTTAGACATTTTACATCCTGTAGAACAATCTCCATAAAAAAACACACAGCAACAGCAACAACAATGCTGTTACTCAAGTCTCATAATACGAAAAATCGAGCTACAGACAGATGTTATAAGAAACTTGTGCTTCCATCATTTATCACATTAGTGTGTGCCTCTGTTATTGACCCAATTCATTGGTAAAAGGATTTCGTGTCATACCGTCCAAGGGTAACCTGACTCATAATTTCTTATGCTAATTGGTCGAGTACATCACACGGTCCTATTACCGTAACTTTATCAAAGCTTAAGTTTAACTTCCCCTTTGATAGACACCAAAGTCTATAGCTTCTATTAGAACCGGTGTCAATAATTTTCATAAAAGATAAAATTGTCACGGAAAAGTATGAACTGAAAAAATAATAAGGTAAATGATAAGGTCTTTATTGCTCACTGAAGAAATAGACATACCTAATTTTATAGGCTAGATAAAAAGATCAGAGATTGAAAAATGCATCGAAAGATTAAAGTCAATTCATAAAAGTTTTGGCTTTTTTTTAATTACTCATTGGCTCGTTTGTACATATCGATTTTCGCTTGTTAAAAGGAGATTTCCTTAGGGTGGTTATCAAACTTGGTTTAAAAACTAGGATACAGCTTTATAGATATTGGGGAGACCAATTTAACTTACGCGCGAACTAGTACGATTGTATTTTTCATTTACCATACATTCGTCTGTAAATTTTATTGGAAAAATATATTATGCTAAACTAAAGAACCTGGAATATTCTACCTCAGATTCCGCGGCCCTCAACATGCTAATGGGCCAACGTCAGTTTGAAATAAAAACTCTGCTGTTGGTCTTTACTTTATCTAAAAAGCGCGCACTAAAATGGAAAAGACCCACCCGTTTACTTTACAGAATGCATGCAGGTGGTGTAGGAAAAATGTACCTAAAAGTCCCCAACAATTATTCTTGAGACTAAGTCAATGCAGTAAAAAACCCACGCGATGCTCGTCGGTTTCTTAAACAAACACAGAAACAACTACAGGATGAGGCTGATTGTAAGGAAGATAACACCCTCTAAGATCCACATAATAGTACTGCATAAACGTTTTTATTAAATAGAAGATAACGGTTCTACCAAGTGGTAGCAAAAAGATAAATGCGCTATCTAGCTAGTGGTGATATCATTTCTATCTACCCATGTGTAATATCCTTTTTGACCAATCAGCTCACAGTATTTTCCCGCGCTGTCAAGCACTTATGGTTTTCCGTCGTTTGTTCCTTTCGCAGTTTTCACGAGTCGAAGTTAAGTTTTAAATTAATTATAAAATGGAGACAAGCTGGTTTGTCGAGATCAGAGATGAGGAACTGGTCAAATTCGTAGAAGAACAAGAAAATCCGAATACAAAGAGGAAAACATTTTACGACGTCGAGTTATTCAATAATTTCATTCAGACATCAAACGCTGGCTTGCAGTTCGTTCTCCAACATCTCTTCACGAGCTTTCACCACAACTTCTGAACGACCACATTTGGAGTTGGAAAAAAAGATGGCTCCGACCATGAACCCACGAGTTTCAGAGGATTTCTTTCAAGCATCCACAGATATCTTAACAAAAGCAGAACTACCGCCTCACAATTTTTACTCGGACGCTGTGCTTAAAGCTTAAGTAGAAAGGCATGTTACTTGTTAATGCTAGCCAATTTTCTAACGATATTCTTGTCCTACGTTTATACCAAGGGTCTACCTGTTTATTATACATTTCTATTGACAAAGATTTAGCCCTTCAGCGGCGATTGAACAGCACACACATTTTTCATCGAAAGTGGGAAAGGACTGGCCGAAGCTTCATTTTAAAGATGGCGTTTGTAACAAGGCAAGCCATCATTGAAAACAAGATTGAGCTCTGTTCTTCAATTCTATATCACCCCAAAATTTATTTCAAAGCTTGCCCAGTTGACCAGGTGGACTCTGAACTTGCGTTCTATTTGAGCCCCGTTCTTTTTTAGAGAGGGTATATTATTTTTCCTTAGCTTAAAATGTGGTTGGAATGAACAAATGTTGAATCATAAACGGCCTAAAAAAGGCAAAGAAGACAACAGAAAATAGCTTGCTACTTTAATGTTTATTTACTTATTTCAAATCCAACCTTTTTGATAGTATGTCTGTTTTAAAGCAATAATTTAAAATATTAAATCAAGTAACAGAGGAGCCAAATCATATTTACTAAATTCTTGAATGCCAGTACTTAACTTGCCTTTTTTTCCCTGTGAACGGAAAAAAAATATTTTCGTAGTTCGTGTTTTTTGGGGTTTGAAATAATAAGACAAAGCTAATGGCACTTTCGTGGCAGGAACCAAGTGCACACAAACCCTGCGAACAAACTCCCCATATGGGGGATGAGAAGTCACAAGGCACTCAAAACTGAGACGCCAGAGCAAGTGTGAAGGGCTGAATGGGGTCGCTCGCTCGCTCGCGCGTTGTCTTGCGGCTTGCTTCACTTGCAACTCGAACTGGGGAAGAGCTTGCTCGCGGGCTGGTGCATATAACTGGCCATGGATGTGCATCTATAAAAAAAATTGGTTATTTCTACACTCCACTTTCTTCGTAGAATCTAGGTTTGATTTCCGCCACTGTCGTGGGTCCGGTGTCTGGGAGCGCGAGTTCATTTGCCGAACAGTGGCTAGTAATCGAGCCCACGTATATCATGTCCTCGCCGCGGCTCCCCACCCCCCGCCCCTACAAAATAAGAGGAGGGGGCGTCCCTCCCAGTTTCCTATGGAAACTCTCTAGGGGAGAAGTTGTCAATAATAGATTACGTCTTTTGTCAATTGTACCACGCATTTATTATCTTCCATTACATTCATTCAACATCAATCTTTAATTCTATTTCTAATCTCTGTTTACACCTACATAGTCTTAATAAATCAAATAAAATTTAAGCTTTCAAAACTGACCACTTTTTTGCTTTTTGCGTCTGTTTATCTCGTCAATCTAACTGCCGCAAAGAGATTAGATACCTTCCGTGAAAAACTTTCTTAAACTAAACAACATTAATGCATCACTCAAGCTCTCACATTTACACAATTTGACCACAATACCGATTTGATTCTGCTCTTACTTAACCGCTGCTGTTCCTCAGATTGCTGTTACGGATCGGAAAACTGAATTCGAACTGAATGCTGGGGTACTTACCGTGTACGTGGGAAAACCGGAAATTCCGGTTTGAAAATCAAGAAGAACAAGAGCAAGAACTAACACGAATGTATTTTTCATTTACCATACATTTGTCTGTAAATTTTATCGGAAAAATTTATATTATGCTGAAATAAGCTAGAACCTGGAATATTCTACCTCCGATTCCCCCTCAACATCCTAATGCGCTAACGTCAGTTTGAAATAAAAGCTGTGCTGTTTGTCTTTACTTGATCTCAAAAGCGCGCGCAAATAATGAAAAAGACTTACCCGTTTACTTTACAGAATGCATGCAGGTGGTGTAGGAAAAATGTCACTATAAAGTCCCCGACAATTATTCTTGAGACTAAGTCAGTGCATTAAGAAACCCACACAATGCTCGTCGGTTTCTTAAACAAACAACTGAAACAACTATAGGATGAGGCTGAGTGTGAGGAAGATAACATCCATCCATCTATTAAATAGAAGTTAGCGGTATACTAAGTGGTAGCAAAAGAAAAATGCGCTATCCCGCCAGTGGTGATATCATTTCTATCTACACACGTGTGATATCATTTTTGACCAATTAGCTCACAATATTTTCCCGCGCTGTCAAGCACTTGTGGTTTTTCGTTTTGTTTGTTCCTTTCGCAGTTTTCATGAATCGAAATTAAGTTTTAAATTTATTATGTATAGTGGAGACAAGCTGGTTTGTCGAGATCAGAGAAGAGGAAGTGATCAAATTCGTAGAAGAGCAAGCAATATTCAGTCGCTGACGATCCAAACTCATTCCCGCCGCTCTTTAGGGTTCGGTCTCGTGGAGCGCTGGCTCACTTCCTTAACAGTGGCTGGTACTCGAGCCTATGTATATAACCCCCTCCCCACAGGGGTGCCCCTCCCAGTTTCCTTGGAAACTCCCTGAGGACGAAGTTGACAACAATAATAGATTACGCCTTTTGTCAATCGTATCATATTCATTATCTTCCATTACATTCATTCAATAACAATTTTTAGTTACATGTATATTTACAAACCTAACCCCTGTTTATCCTTACATCGAGTCTTACTGACTCTAGTAAAACTTTAGCCTCCAAAGCCACTAAATTTTTGTCGTTGTTGTTGTTCAATTGTTGATCTAACTGCCACAAAGCGATAAACAAATTTAATCATGACTCGTGCTCTTATATTTTCACAACTTCACCACAATATCGATTTGACTCTGCCTTAACCGCTGCTATTTCTTGCATTGTATTGGATCGGGAAACTGCTGATTGCTGGTTACCTACAGTTGCAGTGTGGATATTGTTCAGTATTCTATATAATATATCAGGCAACAGTTTTCCATGGGCAATACTCTATTTGTTTTAAACAGGATCATGAAAAATTATCATCTTTTTGTAAAATAAGCCATCGAAAATTTTTGACCATTTGTTTTCCTATAATAACATTAACCGTCTTTTAACGTCCAACCAGTCCTCTCACCTAGTTCTAGGATTTGTATAATAAGACTTGTGAAAAAAGCAACTTCTGACGAGAGGATGTTGAATTGATATCATTTCATCCTTTTCTACATAAACCAACAATTTAATCAACAAGGCTTTAAGACACAATGTACTCAGCTTCCCTACCCTAGCTAAGAGACACATGCAAAAAGACAGTTTTAATTATGTGCTGATTGAATATAAGCCTGCGAAAACAGCCGTTTCTCCCTAGGAGAGAAGTCTGCGTCTTAGCGACAGAAGTAGGGAGCTTAAGCAACGACGACGGCGACGGCAACGAGAACGGAAAAAAAGCAAGAGGTTTAGATTGGCAGCACAACAACAACTTTGCACGTGCATCACTATTTTGTACAATTATTTGCCGTCGCTGCGCGACTACAACGTGAAAGTGCCTAATTTCACGTTGTGTCGAGGACGTGAACACAAGACGACTTTCTTTTACTTTTCCTGAACTTTCATTACAGTCTTTTAGAATTCAACTCCAGAAAAAAATGCCATTATTTGATGAATAGAACGAGTTGGAATGAGTGCGATAAAGTTTGAAGTAGCGTGAATTCACTTCTTCCTCACTCTGAGGCGCAGACGTTTTTTCTGGGGAAACGTCCTAAGCGGCCAGGAGCGAGGAGAAACGGCTGTTTTCACAGTAAGGCTTATTGAATATGTGGTTGCTATGAAATGCCATGCTTAGGTCCCAAATGGTTAAGACGAAAATCTAAACCTGCGTTAGAAAATTAGCCTCATTTTCTTCACGTTCTCTTCTCTAAATGCAATTTAGTCCAATTTAGCTAAAAAGGTCGTCATTCATGGTAGCCATGCCATTTCAACTCTGAAGGACATAGTTTAAAGTCACCAACATAACATCCCGTGTATTAGCACTGTGGAATTCAAGTCAAGTCATTGACAAAAACTGTGAAAAGCAACAGCCCCAGGACATTATCCAGGGAACATCGTAAAACACTGGCATCACCAAGTAACTCTTGAACCATTCGATGACAAAGGATGACAAGTCACTTTCAAGTAGATTTTTTAACCGTATGTAGGTCCTTCAACTCTGAAGATGACTACTCTACAGGTTGTCAAAACGTCAGTCACCGTCAAAAACAGTCCTTTTCAGGACCACACTCACTCGACGATCATCTTCCACCTACTTATGAAATGACTCCTGCATTCAAACCATTCACAGTACGTGTGCTTTCCTCATATCCAAGAGAACTACAGCTGAGGTTGTCTGTTACGGTCTGTTGCGCGAAGTATGCAATAGTAAAATCTCTGTCAAGTTCCTCTTTTGCTGCCACTGTGCTTAACGGAGTCGCCTATATAGTCCACCAAAGAAACACGAGTTGATTTAAAACGGGGAAGATAGGACGATTGTCATATCGCTTCTCGTCGTCACCTTTTTCGGTGGAGATTTACTTCTGATCACCTGATCTTCAGTATGGTGCCTCAGCTTATTCATTGTTCTGCTGTAGCGGTCATTTCTGGTTGGTCTTGAGATACCAGAATGCCACTGTGTAAATCTCCTGGACCGGGTTGTTCGAAGCTGGGTTAAGTAACCCGGGGTTAGTGGGAAATTTGAACTCAGATATGAGAGCTTAAAAAACAAATTCAGTTTAATTTTCTTTGCCTACAGTTTGATGATTTGATACTCTAAAAGGAATATAGAAAATTATCTTAGACAGTGCTTTTGAGCAAACGAAAAAGAAGCCCTCGATAAAACCGCTAACCGGCGTTCGAACAACTGGGCCCTGAAGGTAATTACATCTGAGAATGTTACATAAGGAACTGAGATATGTAATGACACTTTTAGCGTAGCAAAAGCCAAGGCTTAGTAAATATAGTACTTGACAGGGCAGCAAGAAAAACAGTGGCTCATTATATTTATGAAGCATATTTAAACTTGAAAAGGAAACTAAGAAATTAACCACAATTATCGACATAGGAATCGTCCTCCCACTGGACGACAGTGCTTTTTTTATATCATCCAGGATGTCGGCAAGTTGATTAAAGTTTATTGTTCTCCATATTTACACAGACCTCATCGACAGGCATATTTGTAACTGTAAAGCATCGACAAGATTCAGTAGAAGGCGTCACCTCCACAGTCAATACCCTTTGATGGCTATCACAAGTTGGCGATATGTTGGCTGTTAACGCGCTTACAGGAGACTTAGGAACGGTCAGCGGTAAATTGGCAGCCAACGACTCTTTCAGAGACTCACAGGTCACTGATTTATTATCAGTCAGAGAATTTCCACGACACACATGGATCACTGGAATTTCCAAAACTGGTAATGAGACTTCAGGAGACTTTTGGGTCAATGGCTTATCAAGACCCAAGGAGCTGGGCTGCTCAGAGGACTCGCCAGTCAGTGGTATATTTGAAGCCAAACGACTTTTACTGGACTCGCAAGTCGGCGCTGTGTCAACTGCCAAAGAACGTTCACTTGAATCAAGGGTCCTCTGTTTATTGGCAGACAACCCACTTTCTCGGGATTCGAAATTCTGAGGTACATCAGCAGGTAAACAATGAATCGAATGAGTCGATGTATAGTGACGTTCACTGCACTTTGGCTGTTCCCTTTGTGCACGTACACCTTCAATAACAGCTTTCCTGTTGCGGTCCTTCCTACTCGGTCCTCTACAAAGTATTCGGTAGAACTCCTTTCGATAATTCTCGGAGAATATCACATAGAGGATTGGGTTAATAGCACTGTTAGCGTAACCAAACCACGGTGCGATAAACAGAAATTCAATAGGAAGTGATTTATACAGTGGCCTGTTGTACTGACGAAGCATCTCCAAAGCTTGAAAAGGTAGCCAAGACAGGGCGAAGACAATAACTACAGTTATCAACATAGCTGTCGCACGCCTGCTGGACGACTGTGCTTTTTTGTTTGAGACCAAATTCCTATGACCAGGAAGTTGTCTACTCCAGAGACGTATCCCTGCTAGACTGTAGACAGCGGCGATGATTATCAGTGGAATGATGTACCCGCCTATAATAAGAACTAGGCTGAAAGTGTTCGCCGACATGGGCGCCCAAAACTCTGCGCAACTCAAAAAATCCGTGCCTTCCAATTGTGCAGTTTTAGATGCCACCATGACTGGAAGTGAGAAAGCCAGCGCTCCCAGCCAGACCATGGCGATCGCGAACGTTCCTAGTCATAACCGTCTTCATAGGAAACAAGATAGCAAAACTTCGATCCAGAGAAATTGCCACTAAACTAAACACGGAGGCTATTAGAGATCCAACTTGAGCAGAGCTAAAAAACTTGCATAACACGGTGCCCATGAAGGTTCCAAACCATTTATAACCGACGTGGAAAAACTTAAGAATGTACGGTATGTCTATGGTCATCAACAGATCAGCAACGGCCATGTTGGCGATGAGGGTGTTGGTTGAGCTGCGCATGTGGTTTACCGTGCAGACAATGTAAATTACCACAATGTTACCGATCAGCGCAAGGATAAAAATCAATACTGTAAATATGGTGACTCCGATTTGAATACGAAATACGAAATACGAACCTCCACTGCCAGGTTCCGTGGCGTTGTTGGTAATGTTAGGAAACACCGATTCTGTGAAGAAAAGAGTATTATTAGAAGCCATACTACTTGATTAGAGGTGAGATTGGCATATCAACCAAAAAGTGTTTTTACTAAACAGTACTTACTAAGGGTACGATCTATTGACCGTATTTGTTTTGGCATTCATTGCAACGCAATATCTAGAAATGTGCTGAAATAAAATATTTCGATGTAATGTAGCTTTCAGTAGTCCAAGAAGTATGGTGCAAGAGGTTTGTAACAAAGCTTTAGCTTATTCGTATTCCGAAATACGAACAATCGAACGCACCCTAATAATGCTCAAGAAGTGGGGGGTGGGGGGGGGGAATCTAAGTATTCGGCTGATTTAGCAACAGAACGGGAACGTCATTTGACTACGGGAAAGCGCGCGGAAAGGACTAAACTCGACTTCCGGTGCCTCTTTTGCCGCTCTGCCATTGGTCAAACGAGTTGTTTGATTTGCGCGCACCGTCGTCAACTGACGTTCCCGCTCTGTTGCTAAATCAGGCTATTACCATTGGAAGACAACTGAATAACAGATTCTTGTGATATGTCACAAACCTTGCAGAAGGCCTATTGACAGCTGTCTAAAAAGGTAACCGCTGTCCATTGTCATATGACTGTATCGGGGGCTCTAGTGAACACCTCATTGAGGGGACGTGATTTCCTATAGTTCTCCGCTGACCAGTTATATTTTCAATTGACCACAAGCTCAGGTCCATTTTTTTCAGGAGGAGTTCAGTTAACTTCTTGTTTATGGCAAAAGTTGAATTACTGGAGAAAAACATTTCTTAAAAGATCCCACGAGAGCTTCGCTTTTGGCCTTGGAAAAATCTAAATACCGTATTACCCCCTAATTGTGTAACCGTGTAACCAAAACTCCCTGACGTGACCAAAGCAACAATTCCACAAAAATTTTCAATATCATTCAGAACGACCTAATAAAGAGTGGTTAGAACGCTGAATTTGGAATCCAGGGGCCCCGAGTGCAACTGAATCTCGCCCTGACCGCCAGCTGGATTTGTTCTCCGTTGTTCGAAGTTTACATCCTCCGCCACGTTTGTAAAATAGCCAATGTACCAGCTGGGATTCCTTTTATGTTTCAGTGGCCTAATTATGTTTCATTATCCGTAAGTAGCCCCTCAACGGGAGAAGATAATTAAGTACTTTCACTCTAAGAGTAAAAGGGTTGAGGCGATATGTATCAAGAGCAGGGCCGTAGCATTTTCTGGTTGTAAGATACAAAGACCAGTTCAATGGGTCCTCCGGACCGAAAACCCTCTGCTTTTCAAACACAATGAGCTACCTAAAATCTTTCTGCCCTTCCCCCCTCCCCCCCAAGTTTCTAAAGGCTTGCTACGGGCCTGCAAAAGCGAATAATAGGAGCCATTATTCTCCTTTGTACCTATTCAGTCGTATGACAGAAGTTTATTTCACACCTATGACAGCTACCAATTAGTCAAAGTGATGGAGTCTCGTAAGGTAACTTTTGACACTGTGGACTAAATCCTGTGGCGTGAACATCATTCAATGAAACCTCTTTGGCTGTACTTTCACATGGCATGGTGCTATCTATTATGCGTCGTTTTACAAAATGAATATAAGAAATTTTGTTATATTTTGACTAAGGCCAGTCAGCGTTTAACTGCTTTAACTGGTTTCAGGTTTTCGATAAGGCTCTTGAGTGTATCCTCTGTAAAGAAGGTTACTGAGGGAATAAGCTTTCTAGTGTAAGGAAACTATCTGTATTCCACTTGGATAACTATAAGGGTATAAACCTGTAATTACCTGTAGGTTCCATGCTCATCCGCGAAACTACACACATCTGGTAAAATTTTTAAATAATTTAAATTCTAGATATTACATGACGCAAACCTTCATGATAGGATGCTTGTTCTCTGCATTCAATTAATCATTACCGAAAGAATGCAATCTGCTAGCAAGCTGAGCTGATCAGTGATTATAATCGCATTCATGTTGCTTTTTATTATTATTATTCTTTTCGCTGCCAAAAATTAGAATATATTAAACAAGTAAAGTTCTAAATTTTCTTCACACTGCAAAATATAATTAGATGATCGTATGAAAGAAGCTCCGGAGATGCGAATGAAAAGCAAAGAACCGCAGTTCATGTAGTTAATATTTGTCTCCATGTGATTAAAGCCATGTATAAGTGATATCAACAGTGTCAAGCCGACATATTTAACGGTAAAATGGAAATGTAGTTACGCTCACTAATCAATAATTAACTTCAAACTAGTAAGAACAAAGCGAATTTTGTTTAACTGAGAGTTATTTTGTTATCACCCAGGAAGAGAACTAATACAGCCACAATAGAATACCGTTAACTGCTCTCGGCTCATAAGCCCTGGGCTTCTACATCTTCTTCGTGAGGGCCTTAAACGGGAGGGCTTATATCCGAAGGGGCTTACACCCGAAATTTTAAAAAGCACTTCGAAACAAGCTTTGGCAGTACTGATTAAATTACGTTTGGCGCGTACAGGTTTTTCATTAAGCTTCAGAACGTCATGATAAATCGGATTTATTTCAGTACTAGAGTGGGGCCTATATCCGGGGGGACTTGTATTTCGGGAGATAGCCTATAACTAGCTTACAGCTTATATCCGGGAAATGGACCTATAACTGAGAAGGTTTGTAAGTGGTAGGGGTGGGGGGAGGGGGTTGAAAGCGGCAGTTTAAGGCATTTTTTAGTCTAATCAAAAGGTTTTTCCTCGCCGGCGTTAAGCGGAATCATGCATGATCAGATTGCGAGTAGTTTAATGTATTTCCTTCAGATTCAGATTTAAGGGTACGGTAAACACCCGCATATAGGAACAAGTGGATTAAGAACATCAAGCTGAAAGTTGGCCAATAAACCACTTTAGTATATACACACTCAGTGATCTTGGTGATTTAAGCAATCTGATTGGTTCGCTATCTCGGACTATTCAACAATATTCACCTCCTAGCGAGTGGATAATGTGTGAGCTCGGTGTTTTTCCCGTTTTTTTTAGAGAACGATCTTTTAAAAGTCGACAAAATCCTAGGGCTGACTTTTTTTAAGGCAAGAAAAGACTTGGAAGGATTCAATACGGCGTTTTTCAATTTACTGTAGCAGGAGTTTTGTGCTCGATGGATTGTTTACAACTCCCGTGTATTCGCGTAGCAGAAGCCGTTTCGTGAACTCAGCGTTTTCTAAGAAGAAAATTTTGGCTCAAAAATCCAAGTTTATTTATGACAAAGAAATTTAAAAGGAAATGTTTGCAGAAATTCTACATTTCAAGTAAACAGGAAAAAGAATGATACAGGAAGACGACCTCTTACCTCGAGCAACCGAGCCGCCATTTTTGTCAGCACTTCATGCGAAGAACGACACAACATGCCCTTTTGGCTATAAACTTGGCAAGTCAACAGAAAACAACACAGCTCTACTTTTTTTCTCAGGTAAGGAAACAGTTCAAACTTTTAGCGATTCCATTGAAGCCATTACGCTGTTGTTTGCGAAATGAGTAAACTTGTGAATTGCCATGTTTGAAAATTCTGCAAAGATCTATTTTTAAACTTACGCGTGGTTTGATCTGTCAATCAAATCCTACTTTTGAATGGTTTCCTTTCTGATTTTGTTGAGATCACTTCGTGTGTATATACTAAAACAATTATTCTTCTCAATCTCGGTGAATAGTGGCTTTGGGAATATTTACCTCGCCGCTTTCGCGGCTCGGTAAATATTTTGCCACTATTCACCTCGATTTCAAAGAATAATTGTTAAATAGACGCAATATATACAAACACAAATTCAGCCGCCGGATAAATAGCGCATATTCTAATGTAGAAAGGACGAGGATGCCAGAATAAGAAACAAATACAGTAAGTTAAAGTAGTAAGGAGTGCTATAAACTCTAAGAGCCATACATTTACGGCAAGGTTTTTTGCGACAAAAAATTGTACAGCCTCGCGTTTAAAGGTATGAACTAGCTTTTTATATCCGTTTGCGATGTGTTTGTTGGATTTTTGATCTCGAATCAATGAATTATTGCTGATTTTTGGGCGATTAAAGTGATGCACTTCGACTTGATGAAAACAACATGGCGGCCCTAAACAATGAACGCGTAGTTCAAATCGATGTTATATTCCTTTCTGCCGTACTAACAAAAGAAAGTATTCTGTTCCAAGCCAGAGTTGAAATTTTTTTTCTATCTTGTTACTGAATTCATAACTTAACTCATCAGTCTCTGTTTAGTTCCTATTTTCAACGTATCACTCCGCGAATTTCATTTTATTTTGCTTATTTCTTTGAGACTGGGGAGCCCAGGCTTCATAAGCCTTCTGGTTTCTTCTAGGCTCCCTTGCCACCTTACAATTTCTATATGTATTCTTGTATTGTATTATATTTTGGGTAAATAAAAATGAACTGAACTGAACTGAACTGAACGCCTTGCTAAAACTTGAAATCTCGGCAACGCGAAACTGCAAACGCGTAACTGCAAACTTCGGTTTGCTGTTTGCGGTTTGCCTGATGCCAAAGGTCTCTAATACTTCAATACGCGCGTAAAAAATTACCCAACAGTGGAAAT